TGTTTGTTACTCTTTCACACAAAAAATACTGAATGGATTTTAATGAAACTTTACAATAATATATCTTATACATCAGAATAACACATAGGATATACTATGTAAAGATATTGTGTGAATTATCCAAAATATCAGTAAAGACAAGAGTCAACTAATTAGGAAAACATTTAGCCATCTGCGAGATGTTCTGGGATATAATAAAAAAACTCATTGTTAAATCCTTTGGCTGCGCGGGTGAAGCCGCGCATAACGACTAGTTAGGTAATAATGCTGCACAGATATCGCAAGGACTCACGTGGACACTTAACCAAATCCTCGTACATTGTGCGTGGGCGTTACCCAAATAGACGTGCCGAGTTCGGTTTGTTATAACTCCCGCGAACCGTTCACTATAGCCGTAGTATTTTCTAGACGAAATATACATTCCATAAATTTAGTTCTCAAACTTAACATTCATAAAGAAACTAGCCGCAATCAGTTAATTACGAAAGATTGTGCCGTCCATCCGTCGGCTTCATTAAGAGTTCACGCGTTTTAATTACTGCGTAAATTAACTTTTTAATTTGGCTTTGGAAGGGACGAGACTACGCTGCGATCGGCGCTTACGAACTCCATATTTAATACGGTTCATCACCATCATCATCTCAGCATGTTTGAGTCCACTGCTGAACATAGGCCAGTTGTTTTTAATGTGAAAAGTTGTAAAGCGAGCACCGGTTCACCTGATGTTAACTGAATACGCCCATGGACATCTGCATCACGCGACGGTTTGCTGACGCGTTGACAACTTTAATCAAATCAAAAATCAATCAAAAATATATTTATTCAAATAGACGCCTGCGCGCTCTTATGAATCGTCAAATTTTACATCAAAGATTATGTGTATAGGTTCGTAAGGTACCACCGGTTCGGAAAACGGTTTCTGTTGAGAAGAGACCGGCAAGAAACTCAACAGTTGCTCTTTTTCAAAAATATCAGGGTACAATATAATATACAGGTATAATAGTCTTATTCTAGCCTACGTGAGTATCAACAGTATTAACTCCACACATTGGCGTCGTCGAGATATTCCGAAATGGTATAATATGCTTTAATCATTAGTTGATTTTTAATTTTACATTTATTGGTCAAGCGGCAGACTTAATATCGACTGTGGGATTTCATTATACATGCGCACACTTTACCCCATGAACGACTTATTTACTTTTTGTAGACGAAACAATGGCGTAGTAAGTTTAAAAAATGTGAGGCCCCGGTTACCCCACGCACCAGACGTAACGCGAAAGTTTTACACCTTCGTTTAACAGCAGAAACTGTTACGTGGCGATACCAATATCTTATCGCAGCATCGCCCAGTTTCTGAAACAATGATCATCGTATAAGTCAACTAATCAGCTGTCAAACGGCTTTCCAAATGTTATTTGAGTTGCCAAAAGGATTGTTGAACTCTCTGAATTGATCAGAATAATCTTCTTAATGATCAGAATGAACATAACTCAAATCACATTAGAAAAGCCATTTGACAGCTGATTAGTTGAATTCTACGATGATCGGTGTTTCAGAAACCGGGCGTATGTCTTTTGTAAGTGTGACAAACGAGTGGGGCGTTCAACCGGATGGTAAGCATATGTACATCGAAAACTCCAGGTCAAACAAACAGACGAATAAAGATACGAAAGCCGACCTTTGCCCGAGTCGGCGGCAATTATGACATCATTGCTAATTCCAGTCAGTACAAAAAACGCCATTATCAGTTCGGACCGCAGACATAAACTGAAAACTTCATTAAAAAAATCTAGATAAACACGCAATAAAACTGTTGATATATTTGTTTAAAATTACTCAGCTTACTGTCCTCGGCTTATCCAAAAGCGAGATAAAGGCAATTTAAGATACAAGTTTTCTGTTAACCTATACATAACAATCTGCCGAAAGTAAACGTTGAATACTTGAATAACGCGAGTTTCGCAAGTCGAATACGTATTATCATTTATACTATGACATTCAACTGACCTATTTGGTGGTAGCACGCCACCAACCAATTGTATAAATAGTTTGTCTGCTATACCTTTTAACGGAAGGGTTTATTAAGGTTTTTTAACCGACTTCAAAAAAGGAGGTGGATGTTCTCACTCCGGGTGTATGTTTTTTTATGTTTGTTACCTGAGCACTTCGCCATTTATGAACCGATTTTAAAAACTCTTTTTGCATTCGGTTCATCTTAGTGTCTCAGTTCCCTCCTGTGGTCCGATATTAATATCATAGTTCAGTCACATACACACGCACAGAATAAATATGTGCAAAGATTATACAGAGTGTAATTATTATATACTTATGATTACTTTGCAATCTCTGGAAGTTGTGATCCTACTGAGATCACTCTTATACTATTTAGAACGGACATAATATTCCAATTGAACACAGGGTATATATTACGTGTGTGATATATACCCTGTGTTCAAAAGTTTTAATACCCTGTGTTATAAGCTTCCGTCACTATGTCCAAATGACTACGGCGCGCGTTGCGTCAATTGCGAAAATAGCACGAAAATAATGTATGGCCGAATTGTTTCTGAAGGCTTAAAAAAGTCCGTGACAGTGCTCATTTAAACCAATATGGTGTAACATAAGAAAGAAAATGTAACCGTCACTATATTTACGGGAGGACTTGACTGTAAATAATTTATTGCACCTTCACTGAGCCGTGCGGGTCACTAAAATAACTTGATAGTATATATAGTGTCTATAATAGTATATACCATACATAAACGATTATTTTCTTCTACAAGAGGAGTGTAGCAAGCAGTTCAACCACTAGTGGGATTGCAATTGCGTTGCCCACTTTCAGAGCGGAATGGAACTCCAGGGCCCTTGATCAGCAGACGAAAGTACTCAAACTATCCGGCGGTTTAAAGCTCTGAGCCGCTTAAAAAGCGTTGGTCTTTACAGCTGTAAAATAACCATTGCTATCGTAATATTACGCTAGTTCGCAAAATTGCAAGCCTGTTCGCTCCCACGAGGATGGAGCGTCAATTTACGAATACAATCAGTAATATATTAAGCCAGGTATACAGCGTGTCGTTACCATCGCGACAATAAATGAACACACTTTTTAAAGTTGTATTAAACATTTAAATTCTTTAATCATCAATATTTACAGAGTTATTAAATTTTCCAAAACAAAGAATTTTAGAACACCCTTACCTATAAAAGCGTAACGTAAAGTTCATTTGTAAAGGTCACAAAGCATATGAATGGGTTGAATGAATTTAAAAGAGACAAAACATACTGTTAGAAGGAGAGGCTTGTAATACGACGCTGTGGCGCGAGTTGTATAGGATGTTACAAATTTTGTTTCTTTTTACTTAATTAGTTTGTTTGAAAAAAAAATATATTTTAATTATGGATTTTGTTTAACGTTAACATTTTTTTATGATTATTGGCCAGTAGCGTTAGACGTGTGTTCATTTATCGTCGCGATGGTAACGACACGCTGTATAAGATAAAACAGTGCTGTCATACAGTATCGAAAATAGTACATTCTCCCCAAGGGCGTAGTATCCAAACAAAATTGCGCCTCAGGGAGGTGAACGCATAAAGAATGGCCACTACCTCGCACCGTTGAAGCGTACATTTTCAACCGACTTCGAAAAAGGTGGAGGTTCTCAATTCGACTGTATTTTTTTTTATGTTTGTTACCTCACAACTTTCGACTGCGTGAACCGATTTTGATGATTCTTTTTTTTATTTGAAAGCTGGTGCTTCCCATAAGGTCCCATATTAATTCCAGTGATATTGGATCTCGGGCTCCGGAGATACTTTGGTAAATCCCGAAAATCAATTATAAAATGAATACGGAGCGATATATTTGAAGTCGGTTTATTTTTCGTTAATTAAAAAATGGGGTCAGTTTTCTTTGGATATAAATCGCAGAGTCCTATTACACCTATTTTGTTAATGCCCTGTCTACACAAAAAATGAGACAAGTTACACTTTTCTAGCACAACATATTTCGGGATAACATATTTTTACACAACTATGTCTAGTCCCAAATTCTAAGCAAAGCTTGTACTTTGGACCCTAGGTATCTGACACACATACTTAAACGTCTTTTTATTTTGTAAATCAATACATAATATAGATATATAAACACCCAGACACTAGAAAAACACCATGTTCGTCACACAACATTTTACCAGTAGTGGGAATCGAACCGACACCCATCTGGCGTCCGTTATTAGTAAAATTGTAAAATATACATCTTAAAAATCGAAAAATTTTTCGAAATAAATTTTAAAGACTATTTTAATCTAAATTTATTGTACTGCTTCACAAAGGAAAGATCATGGCCTGCGTCACAACTTAGTATTTCCTATAAATTTTATCCCAAAAATAAATTTTACTACAGATAACGTCTTTAGTCGTGTTTTATGTAAGTTTCCATTAAACGTCAACCCACATTTATAATACAGATACAAATGTTATTGTACAAGAAAAATATATTAAATACTCAAAGTTATCTAAAGAGATATTGAATTCCAGCTAGCGCTTTAGATAAGGGAGATGGATGAACGATACAGTTCAAATAAAGGTATAAAATGTAATTAATAAAAAGCAAACGATAACGTGATAAACGTGGAACAATGAAGTATGCTATTTCTATAGCGGTTTCATTTCTATTGTAAACGGTGCATCATACAACAACATAATCCGTTAAATAATTACGCGTCTCACATCGCCCGTCACCTAGCGACAGTTCGCCATAAACGATTTATCGTTTTGTGACAATTCCCTATTCACAAAACGTAAAATATACAAACGTAAAATCTCGCGGAGCGGGCGAGTTTACGATTCGACGGCAGTGCGAACGAACACTTTTACTCAGAATATAAACAAGTGTATAGCTATCTAGCGCAACGCAGCAGACGCGTACGTATGTAGGTTAGATAGGGCACATCGCAATGGCTGCGTGTCTAGGCTAGGTTCGTTAGGCAGGTAGGTACCGGTATCAAAGGGCCGCGGGGATTTCGCTGACACTTTCGTAATCCGTGGAAACGTGGGCACCGAATGCCGCGGAGGGCTGGCAACGTCGCGCCTCCGACCGACGACCTCGCGTTATCGCCACCCGCGGCGACGCGTACTACGAAAAGGTCACCAGTCGCCGCGTTCGCCATCATCTGTTAATGTCTTCGCCATCTAAACAATCGCAGTTTCGACACAGAATCCCATAAGCACACCGTGATAAAATATTCTCTCGCGTTGCGTTGCGACGTGGCGAGCGACGCTCTCCGTCGTCGGTCTCTCGCTCGCACCCACCCGCTGCGTCCCGCCCGGCTCCGCCCCCCTCTGATCGTGTCGCCGCCTAGCGGCAGCGCCGCGAAATGTATACGACGTCTATACAGCGTTGCCACTTCGTACCTATAATTTCGCTCGACGTAAATTTCTACCGAAACAGTTCAATGGACTTTCCGAAAACTCTAAACGTGTCAGGTAACGTCAAACGTCTCGTGTTACTAATCAAAATAAAAAAAGTGGTGTTACGCAGTTTGTTCTTTAGAAATCTGTGTTAATTGTGTGTAAGTTCGTGCCCGCGCTTGTGAGATCCGTGACGAGTCCAACAGGGAAATTGTTAAGCTGTTTTAGGCTAAAAGGTGAGTATTAAAACCCTGGCTACATCATTAGTATCGTCCATGTGTTATATCTAGTGATTTTAGTAAGTGAAAACAACTGTTCCACTTCCTTCTACTTTCTTAGTTTGTCATCAGAAGTTCAAGTTTCTAGTGTAGCTAACTTTGTAAATTAACTCCGTGAATGTTTTAGGGTCATCTCTTACTTGTGGCTTACGATACTACATAAACTCCGTGTGGGGCATGTGTTGTGGTGATGGTGGTGCACGTGCTAGGGAAACGGTTATGTAAGGTTTGATACATTGTTACATCCGTTTACAGTCGTCCTTTAATTATTTACCGAAAATAACCACTTATTCGATGCCGGGTACTTCAACATATAGTTATTGTGAATGGTCGGACCTAGACCGTTTACCCGTCTTAGGCCTACAAGGCTAACAAGCATTTGCATCAACACTAGCTGTTCCTCTCACTTATTCTTATTCTGTTTTGTTTCCTGAACTTAAAAATCGAAATATCGCAAAGTATACACTTCATTTCGTTCATGCCCCAAAAATCCGTAAAATTCATAAAAATGCAATCTGCAGCATTCTTTATTCATACAATAAATGCGTAATTTTTGGCGGGAAAATTTGTCGTAAAATATGGATATTATTTCGGCATAAATAAAATGACCTGCTTATTACGAAATTAGTAATTTTATACATTGTGATTTCAGAAAAAACGCGCAATAATGTTAAATTACAATTATTATATAAAATAATAATTTACTATGGAAAGTAGAAAAATTGTCGCTAATATATTTTCCACTATCAGCATAGATCTTAAACCATAAACGATCGAAATGATTGCGTTGTTAACATTATAACACTAAATTTGTTACTATCTCGTTAAGTATATAAAAATTTTACAAACTCGTGACTTGGCTAAAGTCCAATCTATTGCAGTAAGAAAAATCGTTAATATTGTTGTTAAAATGTACTCGCATTTTACGATAGCACAATGACTGTATCAATTGTATAGTATGCATCGAAGAACTTATCGTTTTCATCTTCACCACCACAGTAAAAATTACAAGTAAATTTGAAATATATATATACGAGTATATATGTATATATATATATATATATATATATATATATATATATATATATATATATATATATATATATATATATATATAATGTTACGTGGACGAGACGCGGAAATGAAGAGGTACTGTTAAAGTTTAGTAAGCTAGGTACAATTATTGAAAAAAGTTAGATTCATATCTGCAGGGATCAAAAATTTTGTACATCACAAATAATATAAAATATACGGTAAGTTTACTTAAAAACGTCAAATAACATACTTGGTCATGTATCATACATAATATTCGAAATTTAAATTTAATTTTGAGATGTAGTGTAGAAATCGCTTGACAAATATAAATAAATATTTTCGGACACATTTTTTACACAACGTTCTCTAGTCCCAAACTAAGCAACGCTTTTATGAACGTAAAACTGATAAACTTACTTAAACATACTTTTCTTTTGTAAATAAATACATATTATACACATTATACATATTATAAACACCTAGACACTGGAAAAACACGATGTTCATCACACAATATTTTCCAGTAGTGGGGATCGAACCCACACCCTCTGGCGCAGGAGGCAGGGTCACTACTCCCAACGCCAATCGGGTCGTCAATATCATATGCAATGTCAGTATATTTGTTAAAATAAGTGTCGACTAATACGAACATTCAACAATTATAATTTTAACAAATATGTTAATGCTTAAAATAAATTGAAGTTACATAGAGCATAATTACTTTTATTTGTAGCTATTGTAAAGTTTAATTTATGAAATTAAACTGTGGTTAATACCCTAAACGACCATGATTGTGTCCTGAAACTTGGTCTTTTTTGAAGTATAATTGTATAGATTATTTGTTTATTATACTGTGGTAGGGCCACGCAGCAGCCTCGGCTGTTGCACGAATCGGCAGGCTCGTCCGGGTAAGTACCACGACCTCATAGTGGACCAGCGTCAAGTGGAGGTATAATACCTTCGCGTTTCGTCTGGTGAGGTGGCCGGAGCCCAATTTAGTGTGGAGCATTTGTTTCACGATTAAAAAGAAGTTGTATTCCTTTTATCGTTTCGAAAAGCACCAGCCTGCCACCACTACTGTCTGTACTAGATTGGTATTGTGTTTGTGCGAACACAAAAACAACTTGCGGCATTAAGTTTCATATAAAAATAATAATGGCGCTTCAGTTTTTGCTATGAATCCGGTCGCTTTATTTTTGGCAGAACTATTAATTCATGTTCCCACGCCGCGGCGGAGGACAGCTACTAATTTGCTTAGTCGGATGCAAATTTAATTATAGCAACCACGCATCTATGTTCGGTCAATTGGCGAGCCGTTTGCGTTGGAAGTGTAAAGATTGCACAAATAAGAAGCCTTGGGTTGGGGGTACGCGCCTCCACCACGCCAGATACGGCAACGATTCTTAAATGAATTCAATGACACGTGGATTGCATCGACTGCGTCTGTCCACTCCGTTTGCGCACAATGGCGTGAGTGCTGATTATTCTGTACGTATCTATTAATTTCATTAAAATGTAGTTAGTTGTTTAATTGCTCTCACAAGAGGTCCCGAAGATACCTCTTTAAGCAGCGAAAGTTAAATCAACTCATGAAATTTCTATAATATTTTTAGGTGTTTCTACTCAATTTAAATCCGCACGTATGATATTCGTGAACTCGTCAAAGTTAACAACATTCAAAATGGAAAATCAGAAAAAAATAACCCAACCGCTAAAACTCTAGGCTTATGATACTTCTTACAAACTCAAAAAATCTTTTGTTACACTAAAACTAATATAAGTCAATAGACCCGTTTAAATTGCAACACAGCAACTTATTTTCATAACAAGGTTTTTAATTAGCAAAGTTCTTGGTAACTATAGTATGACTCGGAATTACATGAAAATCGTAAAGTAATTAATCACAAACTATGCTAAAAATTGCCTTGAATTATTCCCGTTGTCTATTTTTGTTCGAGCACGCAGAAATTGCTCAGTATTTTTAACTATCTACCCCCGCGTCAGTAGTAAGGTTATATCGGGTAACGGGTTTACGGGGCCACGTATAAATATCATTAAAATATAAATATTCGAAGATATGTTTTTACACGACGTTTATTTCGTCTTAAACTTAGCAAAGCCTGTATCATAGAGACTAGGTAACTGATAATTTTGTACTATAGGAATCGACCACAAGGCCTCGGGTGCAAAACGCAGTTTCACTCACAACGCCTATCGGGTCGTCAATAGCCGGTTTGATGCGACGTCCACGTGACCTTCACAGCTTTCATTAACGCGAAAGAAAGGCGGTTTCTAACTGACAGTACCGGACTAATCAAGATTGCTTGCACGTTGCACGAGAAATTCTATTATCACCTCACAACGCTTTGAATTTTTCGTCCCGTGTTCCAGTAGCATCCAAGTAGAACGACGCGTACAATGTCCTAATTATTAGACCAGTGTTTACTGCTGCCTAACAGAACTTTGGTGAAACGTCTAAAGCAGACAGCAGTATGTAATATTGGATTAGAATGTTGACTATCGTCATACCAAGCAGTGATGCATTCGTATTACATATTGTATTTACTTATAAATTTATACAGTTTTATCGTGTCGCAAAAAATTAAAATTGAAGTTAACAATGGATTTTTGTTTTTCGATGTGATTTAGATTTCGATGTCAATTTAGTAAATATACAATTGTGGTTTTTTGTTAGGCCTTTTAGTTTACCCTAATTATAATTTGAACGGCCAAGTTAGTTGCGTGTATATTTTTCTCTAAGAATAACATTCTTTGGCTGTTTTTTTAATTTCCAACTCTTCTTGCCGAGAGTTAATTTTCTGTATACACATAATATACTTTCTCCCTTCGACGGAACCCTTAAGAAGATGATTTTGAACACACCGTTGTGTGTGTTCCAAAGTCTGAAGCAATCCATTTTTATTCTTCTTATTATATTTTCGCTAAAGATAGCCACAACCTTTTGAAGTCCAATTGCAGGCCGGATGCATCGAATACGATTTCAAGCCGCGGCAATCACAACACCGCTCTACCGAACTGAATATTCAACGTTTCCATTTCGATTGAGACTTGCAGACATCCGCAGAGATGTGTATTAGTGTAAAGAGATAATTTTAACTGGATACGTTAAAGCTAGTTTGTAATGCTTCAAAGCGCGGCAGACTGCTGAGCTCGAGAATTAAACATGTATATTTATTGTATTGTATTGCTGTACTAGCTTCTCGCCCGGCTTCCCACGGGTGTAATATATTATATATAAACCTTCTCTTGAACCACTATCTAGTAAAAAAAAAACCGCATCAAGATCCATTGCGTAGTTTTAAAGATCTAAGCATACATAGGGACAGACTGACAGCAAGACGAATTTATTTCATAATGTAGTGATTAATCGTCAATTTAATTAAGAATTCCCTCGTGTGTATTTTATAATGATTTCGTTTTGTTTCGAT